GTAATTTACTGAATACATAAATTAATAAGTAGTAAATTACTGATCGGATTGCATTCCGGATTGCAATAATCTTCCTTTTCAGGAAGACATGAAACCGGAATAACGGTTTCAATCCATATGTTGATTGATAATTTAACTGCAGATCGATTATATTATCACAGAATGCAATATAGTTTTGTGATTTCTGATTAAATAGACTAACATAATAAGGGGAGAGCAGACAGAGTGTTAAAATATCACGAAATAGTATATAGTCAGAGATTGAGAAATTTCTTGAATGATTGCAATATCGTGAGAGAAATGATAGATAACGAATAAAAATATAACAGTCAAAAGACAAACATATGATATGTGAAGAGATCATAGTCACAACATAATATATTTGAAAAAGTTATCAGTTCGTAGTGTGTTTTTCGGTTTGTGTCCATAATGCGATACGGTATGAATCACTGATTTGCAGCTATTTGTTTAGTAATACCGGGAATATCTCTTACTCTATGTGATTTCCGGTTTTCCGATTCGTTTTTTTTACTTATCCGATCTGTTTTCAATTTGCGATTTATTTTATCGGCGCGTATTTTTTTCTTCCTTTTTCTTTTTTATTTAAATTTTATGTTAATAATTTGCAGAAGTGTAAAGATAGATGTCTGATTCTGATAGTTCGAGTGCTAAGAGCAAAAAAGGACGAAAAAAAGAGACAAAACGTGTCAGAGAAGTGCCCATTTTTTTGTTTTGTTATTTTAACTTTCAAATTTTTTTACAAAATTTGTCTTTCAAAATCACTATTTTACTATTTTGTTGCTAATTTTAACCATGCTTATCACATTTTTTTTTTTTAATGATATATTTGTTACTTTATCGATACAATTTTCTATGGGTCATAAAAAAATTTTCCATTTTGACTTATCATATTTTCATCGTAAAAAAGTCATATATTAACTTTCTTTTGGACTATAAAGAATATGAAAGAATTACATAACACTGAAAATAATGTGTGGAAGGGATAAAGTACATCTTTTTTCAACTTATGTAAATAAGTAGTTGAGAGATTATGTGCTTTTGTTATCAATTAGAATGATCAGTTAGTGCGATTATTAATATGAATATTTGTTGTTTTCAGAATAGCACTTCCGATGAGAGTATTATCGATAAAAATCCTGTAAAAAAAGGTAGAACTAATGGTGGCAGTTTCAAGAATGCTGATGGTGATGAGGTATCTTCTCTCACTTCACTTTTTTAAGTCCCAACCATAGATAATTAAAATATGCTAGTTTATAAATATTATGATAGTAGACATTTTAGTTTTCGTAAAAAAGATTTTTTTTTTTTATGTGGCTCAAATTATTTGTACCAAACTAAAAATATAAGTTTTATACTGGAAAAGTCTTTTTTTTCTATTCAAATAACGAGATTAAAAGTAGTTGCACGAGTTTTTCACTGGTCATTTGCGAATTTGTTCACTTATTATGGAAATTAATTCTAGATGTTCGAATTGGGCAAAATGCGTTTCGTTACTGTGCGCTCTTTCAAAGGCAAATCATTGATTGATATTCGTGAATATTATCAAGATAAAGTAAATCTGTTTCTCTTATATTAGTGCTTTGTTTGATCGATGACTAATGTACTATTTTCTGTAGGTATTTGTTGACAAGTTATATGGTAGGTAAGTTCTAGTGCTGCAGTTTCTATTATTGAATTTTTCTCTAATATTTGCCTTTCTTTCAGCTTTTTAAAATTTGAAGCATTGTTTCGGTTTCGCCCAGTAGAAAACTACACTGATTAGCATTTGTCATTTATGAATATTGAATTACCAGACATGGAAGGTGAAGTTTGAGTTAGGATAGCTCAGTAGATCGTCATTAAGTGGAAAGGAGTGCATCAGAAAAAGATCTATGTAAATATGTTTTCAATTCATTACTGAGTTGTAGTTTGTAAATGTTTAATTAGAATTTGAAAGTTAGGAATGAAAATCTCCAATTTCTTTTCCGTTTTTGCAAACTATTTTAAGGCTGAGAGTTTGAAAATGTTTCACGAATGTAATTTTTCTGAGCTGGTAAACAGAATCCACAACTGCGCTTCAGCATTTGATAACTTTAATTTATATATATTTTTAATGCTTTTATATTCTCCTTTATTCAGATTTTCAGTACCATAAAAAGTCAATTTTCAGGGTAGTGGTGAACTAAAACCGGGACGTAAAGGTATTAGTCTATCAGAAGAACAATATCAGCGATTGAAGGCTATTATGAGTGATATAGACGAGAAGCTGAGTAGTGCCTAAAATGTTTTTTTCCGTGCTTTGACATAGTACTTGGCTGTTTTCAGTGTTGGTTGTCGATCTCGATATCATTTGGCTGCTCCTGTCTGTCATCTTAATATGAATGGAACAGAAATTGTCGTAGTGCTTTATGTTTGTGTTTGTAAAGTACTATGATAATAGCAGTTTTCATGATTTCCGAATTTTCTTTGTCATTTTATCACTTTTCATTCATTTTGAAAATACTTCCAGACTCACTGATTTTTGAGAATTGGCTCATACTTCGATTATATTTCACAAATAATTTGCCGTTCACAAAAAAAAGAACCTTTTTCACATTGATCGCGGAAAATAAGCAATTTTGAACAGTCTTATTTTCTGGATCTAGATTTCATTCTCTCCTTTATTTGTCATAAACTTGTTTGTTTCCTATTTTTCGTTTCGAAAACCATTAAAAAGACATATGATGCATATAGCAACGCATAACATAATACAATTTGCATAACTTACAATATAATGATAATAGTATCATAAGCAAACAATGGTACTAGCAGCTAATTTTTATGAACATGTAAGTAATGTAATAACTATTTTGAGAATTAGCAGAGTTAGAAGTAACGGCTTATTCGCTAATTAAACTATCGATATGATTGAAAAAACGATGTCAGGTTAAAAGTGGATGGACAAGGATGCTAGTATAGGCTTGTGCATGGCATGTAGTTAGGTTGCATGCAGCGGAAGATCTAGCCATTTGACATGCAGTTACGTTGCATGCAGCGAAGGATTTTTCTCTTTGACATACAATTAGGTTGCATGCAGCGGAAAATTTTCCTTAAAATTAAAAGTAGAAAAATGATAAATGAATGGAAGCAGTAGCAAGGATGAGGTTATGCATGCCATGCAGTTAAGTTGCATGCAGCGAAGGATTTTTCTTTTGCGAATTGACAACAAACCTATATGAATTGTGATCGCACTGATAGGTTTCAATAGAGTGAGGAGAGAAGAGGATGAGTGAGTTGGTTTATTCGGAGAGATTTGTTAGTATAATTAATGTTATCAGAGTTGATTTAATCAGTGTTATCCATGTATACTTGTTTAATTAATTTTAACTTATCCTATTTCATACACATTAATCATATGATTATGTGTTTTGTAAAATTAAAATTGTATTTGTATGATTAACGATATGCTATACTATTCGAAAATTACATTATGAAATGAAATATTTGAATGTTTTGATTATTTCTAGGATTTCATTCAAATAATGGCATTGGCTAATCGTGGACGAAATCAGAAATTACCACCGGAAGTAAATCGAATTCTCTATGTTAAGAATTTACCATATAAAATTACCAGCGAAGAAATGTACGATATATTTGGAAAATTTGGAGCTGTACGTCAAATACGAGTGTAAGTTTGCCAATTTTTTTTTTTTTGTTCATTGTGATCTTTTTTCTTGGGATTATTTAAAGATTTCAGTTACATGTATGATTTTTGTTCTGAATTTATTTGCATGTCGTTTGTATGTTTCAAATTCGATTAATTCATCGTAGTCATTTTTAGTCAATATTTCAATCTTATCCTTAGTGTGAATAAGAATGGAAAAATCCTTCATCATTTTTTATTCCTTCCATCTTGAAGCGATTTTAGTTTATTATAGATTAGGCTTTTAATATTACATATTAACCAATCTTTTTTTTAATCATAAAGTTTCTTTTACTTTCATTTTATGTTATGAATATCTCATTTAAATATAACACAGATTAGTTACTACTTATTCATACTCGAAAAATAATATTTTAGATGACTAGCTTACTTCTTTTATATATGTTAGAGATAGTGTATCGTTTCTCTTTTTTTTTTTCTTCATCATACCATAATTTCATTTTTTTTTGCAGAGGCAACACAGCTGAAACACGTGGAACAGCATTCGTTGTTTATGAAGATATTTTTGATGCCAAAAATGCTTGTGAACACTTATCTGGATTTAATGTATCCAATCGATACCTCGTTGTATTATATTATCAGGTATGTGTAGATTTTGTTTGCTGTTTGTTCTTAATGTTTTTAAATTACAACCTATTGAATTTGGATGATTCAGTTTTAAATAAATATGCAACAATATATCTTTTCGCCTTTTATCTTTGTAGTACAATTCGATTTCTGTAAAATTTAATCCCATAAACTTAAAATTTATTGCTTTTATTTGACAGCATTTTGAACTAATTATAAAAGATAATATAGAAGGTAGCAAAATTTTCTTGTTGAATTGATATGGAATTTTTGCCAATGGCTAGGTTGTAGTTTTTTTTTTTTTTGGAAAGACTGTTTGATTGCATTTTTGTGGAAAGTTTAATAGATGTTTTTTCTTACCAATCCATGAATAGTTTTTAAAATTGTAATGTGTAGTAAACACATGAATTCCTTGTATAATTCTAAAATCTTTTAATACAGGCGACAAAAGCTTATCGAAGGATGGATACCGATAAAGCGAAAGAAAGGCTTGAAGAAATTAAGGAACGATATAATCTAGGTGGTGATTTAGAAAAGGAAAAGAAAGATAAGTTAGGCTATACACCTACACCTCGACGATAATCATTTTTTTTTTTCTTTTTTCATTGTTTTGTCTTTGTATAGACAGTTGTTTTATTCTGTAATAAAAATTTGAAGGCTAATAATTTCCATTGAAGACATTTCTACCTTCAGTAATAATTCTATGTAAAAAAATAACTGCGAATAACATTTATTTACAATAGTACTTATCAACTAGATATTTGCATGTTTTACATTTTACATAACAACAATGAATATATTTGCATTGGCATTGTTCTTCAATATGCATTTGTTTTGTGTAGTATCCACGTCCACAACATAAACTATTGCAACTGTTTGAATCTGATGAAGTTAAATTGCATTCTCTATAAAAGTAAGAAAATTTTTAAAAACATCCAATAACATATATATTTTGAAAAAAAAAAAAACAAATTAATTAATGTGCAAGTGCAATAGAGTGATAAATATATAAAATAAATGGAATAAATGGTTATATAAAAATTTGTGTGATAATCTCATCCAAATTATGATCTATTTTTAACATACAATTATAAAAGGCGAGGGAGCACCCGGATTTGAACCGGGGACCTCTCGATCTGCAGTCGAATGCTCTGCCACTGAGCTATGCCCCCTTGTAGTTCTGACTTTGCAGCATTTTATAAATTCTAGAATTACAAAAAAATAATAATAAATCAATTTACCTCATCATTGTACCATATGAACCGGTTTTACTATCTTCTACACAATAATCCGGTGAATCTCGAAGATAAACCTGAAATAGAGAAAATGAAAATGACAAGAAAAACAATGAAATTTTAACTATGAAATTTTAATTAACTATGAAAATTTTAATTGTTACAAAATAATATTTGTTCAAAATTATCAATGATAAAAATTTCAAATAGAAATAAAAATAAAATTACACTTAAAGTTTTTAATTTGAACAATATAAATGTAATTAATGCAGTTAAATAAGTGAAGATTTTATCATTAGCTATTGAAAATTTTACTATGTCATTTATGATTGCAATTTTATTTTAATTTCAAAAATAATAAAAAAAAAAAAATATGTGTAAAAATATTTGATATCTTAAATTATTATTTCATTATAATTTATTTATTTATTTATTTTTCTTTTTAATAAAATAATAATTAGTAAAGGAATATTTGAATTACCAAATGTTGTCGTGATAATTCATCATGTATAGCCTTATCAGTAGTATATCGAAATTGTGTTAACAATTCTGATAATGGTGATGCTTCTGTATAACGCTCTTGTAATCTTAATAAATAACAAAAAATTTCAAATGTTTAATTTAATAATTTGAAATTTTTAAAATGAAATTATTAAATGTATTTGTTTTGTTTTTTTTTTCTATTTAAAACAAAACAAAGAAAGCAATTTTTAATATTATAAAAGTTAATTATATTCTTTAAAGATAGCTTACGTAATAAATGTTTGACGTAAAATAGACGTATAAGTTTAAAGTAAGTAGTAATACTAGTTGTAATATATTGAAATAAAAATAAAGTAATAAACTTTAATGCTATATCATGAACATCCGGTAGAGTATTCCAACATGTTCTCACATTACAACTGCTCGATACACCGTGACATTTGCATTTACGATACAAACTTTCTTGTGTAACCTTAAAAATGAAATTTATTAAAATAAAACTTCAAATGATTTTCTTTTTTTGAATTTATTTTAAATTTGAAAGAAGTGAAAAAGTTGTTAAAATGATTAATTATTTGTCGTTTCAATAAATCAAACGAAAAAAAAAAGAGAAAACATTTTAGAAACAGTAATCATTCATTTTTTGTTAGTTCATTATACAATGATTATAGATTATTTCAGCAAAAAAGGACATAAAGATCATTTATGAATTAAAAAAAAGATGAAAATTAATGCATCAAAACTAATTTAACAAGAATTACTAATTATTTATTATTATTATCGTCGTTATTTTTATTTATTGATTTATTTAGTATTATTATTGTTTTTATTATTATTATTATTATTATTATTATTATTATTATTATTATTATTATTATTATTATTATTATTATTATTATTATAATTAGTTATAAATTATTAGAACTAATCATTTCATAGTGAAAATGAACTATACCTGACGACCAACTTCATTATTATGTTCATTCATTTGCGCACGTGGTGGAAGATCAGTGATCGATTTGCGCTCCGAGAAATCCGTGTTAATATAGGCCCAATCATCGAGTAACTCCTTTAAAAAATTAATCCGATTTGAAATTTGTTTAAAAGTACAAAACAAAGAATTCATACTGCTCTACTGTGACTTTATTTTTCAGTCTTCCTTGTCATTTTGATTAAAACTACTAACTTTACGTTACCATTAATTAATTAGAAGTAAGTAATAGACGTAAACTACTTCACTTTACTATTAATTAATTAGAAGTAAGTAATAGACGTAAGTAAGTAAACTACTTCACTTTACTATTAATAAAATTAAAGTAAGTAATAAATGTAAACTACACTTTACTATTAATTAATTAATTTAAAGTAAGTAATAAACGTAAACTACTTCACTTTACTATTAATTAATTTAAAGTAAGTAATAAACGTAAACTACTTCACTTTATTATTAATTAATTTAAAGTAAGTAATAAACGTAAACTACTTCACTTTACTATTAATTAATTTAAAGTAAGTAATAAACGTAAAAGTTAGAACTTATTAATGTTATTTTCTTTTCTTTTTTTACTAAAAAAATTTGATAACTTTTTAATTTCCTAAAAAAAAATTAACCAATTTCTCAATGATAAATTTTACTAAAAGTTACCCGATTACGTCGCCTATTTGGCGTAGTTGCATTGCTACCTGGACGCCATTTTTTACGCCATGACGCATCTGCCCATTCACGGCTTACTCGTTGCCCGTATAATACATTATCACTACATCCTTTCCACTAAAAATTAAATGATAAATAAATAATAACAGTGTAAATATTTATGAAACGTTAAAATTAATTAAAATATGATTTCAATTTTAAAAACGGAATTTTATAATTCAAAAAATTTTGAACAAAATTTTAAAAAATAAATTTCTAAGTTTGTCACCTTATAGGAAGCATCAGCAGATGCAGTTGGTGAATTTAAGCCACAAGGACAGTAAGGTAAATCGCCTGAAACACAAGCTTTAGCTACGTGATGCGTGAGTGCTGCAGACGAGAGAGCATACACGTACGCTTGTTCTTTGGTACCTGAAAAGTACAATTAGTATGAATTTGACGTATTTTTTTTAATTAATTTAAAAAAAAAATTTATGACTAATGAATAAAAGAGAAAAATATTTCTTTGTTGAGTGAATGAATAAAAATTTTCATTTTATATCACAAAATTGATAATAAAAAAATTCCTAAATGATATTATCAATTTCAGATATTTTTTTGTGTGAATCTATAAGTAATATTATGTTTTTCAGATTAAAAAAATAAGTAATATTATTATTTTTAGATAATATTTATGCAAATTTATGTATATTTTGTACATTTTGCAGATAAACCTTTTATGAATCTTTTCAACTAATTTTTATTTTTTATTTTTTTTTTTTTACTAATATTACTATTTATAATTATAATAGAAATAATTATAATTCATAATAAAAATTCATAAGTAATATTATCACTTTCAAATACGTTTCATGTAAATCCATAAGTAATATTACAATTTTAGGTAATCTTTTTATAAATCCATAAGTAATATTACAATTTTAGGTAATCTTTTTATAAATCCATAAATAATATTACAATTTCAGGTAATCTTTTTATAAATCCATAAGTAATATTACAATTTCAGGTAATCTTTTTATAAATCCATAAATAATATTACAATTTCAGGTAATCTTTTATAAATTACCATAAGTAATATTACAATTAAATATATTTTTATAAATCAATAAATATAATCAATAAATTTCAGGTACTCTTTTTATAAATCCATAAGTAATATTATAATTTCAGGTAATCTTTTTATAAATCCATAATTAATATTATCACAAAATAGAAATTTTGTATATACTTTTCTATTACTTGTAATATAATTAAATTTATAAAATCAATCGATATTTACATTTTAAAATGCAATAGACTTTTAAGAAATTACTTAACTTTAATAAGATTTGATACTTATTTAATATAACTTGTAATATATTAAATTTATAAAATCAATCGATAATTATAAATCAATAAACTTTCCAGAAATTACTTAACTCCTGTAAGATCTGATATTTACTTTATATTATCATAAAATCAATCGATAATTATAAATCAATAAACTTTCCAGAAATTACTTAACTTTTGTAAGATCTGATATTTACTTTATATTATCATAAAATCAATCGATAATTATAAATCAATAAACTTTCCAGAAATTACTTAACTTTTGTAAGATCTGATATTTACTTTATATTATCATAAAATCAATCGATAATTATAAATCAATAAACATTCCAGAAATTACTTAACTTTTGTAAGATCTGATATTTACTTTATATTATCATAAAATCAATCGATAATTATAAATCAATAACTTTCCAGAAATTACTTAACTTTTGTAAGATCTGATTTGTATCGTGGCGCTCGAAGTATCGATGAGCAATTCCATCGACGATCAGCAAATACTTTTTGACATATGGAAACAGTCGTTTGAGATGCTCGAATGATGACAGGCATCAGATCGGATATACGACGACACATACGAGCCTATAAGTATAAGTTATTTTTAATTTAAACATTAATTAAATGTTTAAAATTGTTTATTACTTTAACTTTTTATAAGTTATAACTTTATAACAAATATTAAAATTCATTTTGAATTTCTTATGATAAATTAAATTTTAAAAAATTCACAAATTGCTTTTATTTATACTGCGTTTTTTTAGTAACCAAAAAATTTAGGATTACTTACTTATTGAATTTGTGTTCTAAATATGAAATGATAAATTTTATTTATTTTTAATAGAATATAATAATATTTACTAATGTCATTTATTTATTATTTCAGTTTTTTTAATCATTATTTTAAGTATAACACTCTTATCATTATTTGTTCGTACTGATAACAAAACTGATAACAAATTTTTTAATTTACTTACTTGATATGCGACCAATCCATAATTTTTACGTAAATTTTGATTTTTTGGACAATGTCTTGGTTCTGTCCATGTATTTGTGATAGTATGAAGTGATCTAGAATTAAAAAAGTTTTCATTCGAATAGTTTTTTTATCAATTCAAACAGAAATAATCTTTCGAATTTTATGATTTTTTTAAATTGCACAAAAAGCATTTAAATTTTGTGGCTTTTCTTTTTATATTTCTTTTTTTTTTAAAAAAAAAATTATTTCTTTTATGTTTACCAAATGACATTAATATGTTTAGAAAAAAAAGAACGAAGAGTTTATTTCATTTATCTAATCTATTCCTTTAAATTAATAGCAGAAATTAGGAAAAAGAATTTTTTTGATCAAATTTTGTCTCACAGACAAAAGCAAGAAATGATGGATAACAACAACAAAAAACAACAAACAACAACAATAAACAGCAAACAACGAACAACAAGCAACAAACAACGAACAACAAAAAACAAACAACAAATTAAAGGTAACAAATAACAAAAATAAGCAACAAACAACAAACAGCAAATAATACACAACGGACAGTAAATAACAAACAACAGATAACAAACAGTAAATAACACACAACAGACATTAAATAGTAAATAGCAAACAACAAACAGCAAATAACAAGCAAAGAACAGCAAATAACACACAATGGACAGTAAATAACAAACAGCAAATAACAAACAACAGACAACAAATAGCAAACAGCAAACAACAGACAGCAAATAGCAAACAACAAACAGCAAATAGCAAACAGTAAACAGCAAACAACAAACAGCAAACAACAAACAACAGACAACAACTAGTAAACAGCAAACAACAGACAGCAAATAGCAAGCAACAAACAGCAAATAGCAAACAGTGAACAGCAAACAACAAACAGCAAACAACAAACAACAGACAACAAATAGCAAACAGTAAACAACAGACAGCAAATAGCAAACAACAAACAGCAAATAGCAAGCAGTGAACAGCAAACAACAAACAACAGACAAAAAAAGCAAACAACAAACAACAGACAACAAATAGCAAACAACAAACAACAGACAACAAATAGCAAATAACAAACAGCAAACAACAAACAACAGACAACAAACAGCAAACAACAAACAACAAACAACAAACAACAGACAACAAATAGCAAATAGCAAACAGCAAACAACAAACAACAGACAACAAATAGCAAACAACAAACAGCAAACAACAAACAACAGACAACAAATAACAAACAACAATAACAATCATCGATTCAACTTTCTTATTTATCTCCTTTACAGATCAAATTTTCCACCTACAGTAGTATTACTTTGCATATCTAAAAAGAAAAAAAAAGTTTTATACTTAATTATGTTCCTTTGTTGAATTACTTAAGAAAAGTGAAAGATTTGTATAATTGTGGAATAGTAAAAGAGAATTATTGAAATTCAATGCTATGAAATAAATTAAATTTTGTGTTTATCTTGAATTATACTGTAACTATGCAATTGTATCTTCAAAAATAGAAAGTATTAAATTAATTAATTAGCACAAAATTTAATATAGAAGCATTTGTTGTCTTTCTTTTTAAATAAATGGTTAGATATACTTCATTTTGTTGATAATATTTTGGATTAATTTTATTTTAATCTTCAAATAATCATTTAAAGTAAATTAAAATCTATTAAATTTTCTTAATAAATTTCACAAAATGAATAATACTGAAACAAAAAAAAAAAAATTTTTTTGATATTATTAAGAATGATAAGAAAATCTAACAAATTTTAATTCTTTTATTTAGAAAATTTTAATTTTATAATTTTAGTTTTTTTCCCCCCCTATTAATAAAATGATAAAAAAGATAAAATATTACAACAAAGAAAAAAATATTCTTTAAAATTATTATGAATTTTTTTTCTTATAAAATAAACTTTTTTATTGCAAATTTAAAATTAGTATAAATTTTTTTTCTTATTAATTAAACCTCATTCTATTAATTCTAATTGAAATTTATCAAATTTTAAATTTAAAAAAAAATGAAAAAACAAAAAAATAAAAAAAAATAATAAATAAATAAAACTTACAGCCATTTAATAGGTGTACAACGATTGCAGGTAAAAATCAATAAAATTAATATAATTGATAATATATGAGAGTGTCCCATTGATGAGACATTCATCTTTTACTTCAAATTTAAATTAAATAATCATTTTGATTAAAATATATTCTATTTAAATGAATTCAAAAAATTTTTTAAATCTGTTTAAAATAATGATAAGAGAGAGAGAGAGAGAGAGAGAGAGAGAGAGGGAAGGAGAGAGAGAGACGAATGAAATGATAAAAAGGCTTAAATGTGAAAGCTATAAATTTGCATAGAAAACCCGCCTTTATGCTGTTACTTAGTTAAACGACTTTCTTTTTTTTTTTCTCTCTCTCTCTCTCTCTCTCTTTTTTCAAAAATTTCGAAAAAGCAATAAACCTATTAAACTATTCCAAAAATTTACGATCGTATTTTACGGCCTAATTTTAGGATGAATTTTAGAATAAAAGTGTTGAGAGTAAAATGGAAATAAATTTGATATTCTAAGCTTCAAGGAGAGCAATTTTATTTTTTCGTGAGGAAATTATTTCAATTTTTAGTATCAACAATTAACTTTTTTTTTTTTTTTTTTAATTCTTTTTTCATTTTCATTCTCTTTCATATTTCTTTTAATTTCACCTTTTTTTCTTTTTTTTTTTATCCATTATGGATAAAATTTTATTGAAAACTGATTTCATCGGTACTTTTCCGCTTTTATCGCTTTTGTCTTTGTAAGAAATTTTTTTTTTTTTAAACATTAAAATTAAAACATTAAAATAATTGATATTTGCAAATGAATTTTATTGCTAATCAATAAAATGTATAATTTGAAAAATATAATAAATTAATAAACCAAATATTTAACTATAAAAATTTAGAAATAATTATTAGAAAAAAGTAAAAAAGAATGGACAAAAAGAAATTGTAAAGTAGTAAAGAATTGTAATAAGAAATTTTAAAATAAAATATAAAATAGATGGTGAAAAGATTATAAAATTCACAATTAATTGATCATTTTAATCGATGATTTGTTTAAAAATTTTATTTGTTTAAAAAGTTTAATCTTCCTGAAAAAAAGAAATAAATAATTTTAGAAGTAAAGTGATACTCCAAATTTAATTTTTTTCACTTTTTTTTTTCCCAAAAATTACTTCCAACTCAATTTTAATAAAAAATTACTTTAATCCTTTTAAGTTATCCGCAAGGTAATTTACTTTTCATTTATTTATTTATTTTTGTTCATTTATATAATTCTTTATGGAATATTTGTATTTTGAATAAATTTAAAAAAAGAAAAATTATTTATACAGTAACTAGCACATACATTCATAATGCCTCCCAGAAAATTTTTAAACTTTTGCAAATTAAATATTAATAATATTTTATATTAACTCTGAAAATTTAATTTTTCAATTCATTCAGTCAGATGAAATAGTTGAAATTTTTTAAATTTCAAATTCTATTGCATGAATTTAAAAGAATTTAAAAATAAATAAACAAAACTTTTGTAAATTTATTCAATATTATAGCATCCATAAAATGAAACCTTTCTATAATTTAATTTAAATAATAACAATAATAAACAAACATTTCATTAGTGATTTCAATGAATGAAAAAGATTGTTTACTATAATTTTATTCATAATTAGAATTCAAATTATAAATTAAATTTTATAGAATTCAGCAATTATTTCAAATATTTTAACATTCAACAAATCAATTCTTAATTTATTCATATTGAATAATTGGTCAAATATTGAAAAAAAAAAAAAGTTTTTCAAAAAATTTTAATCCAATGAATTTTAATTTTGAAGAAAATAATAAGAGTAATGGTGATTTATATAATTATTAAATTTTAACAATCAATATAACACTATTTTTTAAATTATATTTTTATACGTTTATAGCAGATAGATTTATCAAATATGATAACGAATTTAATTAATATAGTAAAAATTATTTATTAATATGAAAATAATTTTATTACAATGTCAAATAACCATCTAAATAATAATTATAAATCTTATTGTAAAAATCAAAAAGCCCAACAATTAATTGTTAATGTGATAATCATTATCATGATAATGATAATTATCACTGTTATCAGTAATTTTAGTTTATTATGATTTAATTAATATAGCAAAAAATTATTTATCAATATGAAAATAATTTTATTACAATGTCAAATAATATTATATTTAATTAATATAATCTTATTGTAAAAATCAAAAAGCCCAACAATTAATTGTTAATGTGATAATCATTATAATAGTGATAATTATGAAAATGATAATTATCACTGTTATCAGTAATTTTAGTTTATTATGATATAATTAATATAGCAAAAATTATTTATCAATATGAAAATAATTTTATTACAATGTCAAATAATGATTATTAATCCTGTAGAATGATAAAATATTAATCTTATTGTAAAAATCAAAAAGCCCAACAATTAATTGTTAATGTGATAATCATTATAATAGTGATAATTATGAAAATGATAATTATCACTGTTATCAGTAATTTTAGTTTATTATAAATGTAATTTAAGAAATGATAATGCTATTAAAATACAATTAGACAGTAGTAGAATTAATAAAATTTGCTTTGGTAACAAATTAATTAAAAACTAATTTTTATTCCTTTCAATAATATTTTTTGCTTTCTTTGTTGAATAAATTTTTGAAATTAAAATTTTTAAATTTATAAAATTACTCAAACAAATGTTTTTTCTCTTTATTATTACTCACATATTTCTAGATGAAATGTTAATAAAAAAAGAAAAAGTTCTATAGCCAAGAATACATCCATCAGAAATAAGCTAATTAATTTATTTTTAAAATGTAAATTTCAATTTAATATCATATATAATCAGTGATAAAATGATAATTATTTGAGATTAATTATTTAATCAAATTTTGATTTTAATAAATTACAAATAAAATACTTTTTAATATTTGAAAAATTGAGTGTAAAAAGTTTTACAAATTTAAAAAATCAATTCAAGGATAAAGAATAGATAAACATAATATGCAAATAATCATTTGCTGCTCATATCATGCATTCTGCAAGATAGGCAAAGTGCTGCATTCTGCAAGTTAACTGATGAACAAAAACAATTTTTGAAGATAGTAAAATCTTAAAAAAGTATGGTAGTAAATTTAAAAAGTATAATAGTGAAATTTATCAAAATAACAAATTTATTTTTTATTTTTGTCAAAATTTACCAATTTCTATGCATGTTTTAGGGATATTTTATTTTTAAATTTAATAATATTTAAATAAAATTAATTTAAATTAATGTTTATGTCTTAAAGACAATTTTATTAAATTTTTGCAAATTTAATGGAATTTGAAGAAGTTAATGTACTTTAAATTTTATTAGGACATTTTAATGTATCAATTTAATGTTATAATTGATGAAATAATGATAAATTAAATTTAATGAAACGGTGATAAAGTTAATTTAATGATAATAATTTATAAATCAAATTTTATTGGAAAACATTAATTGCAAAAATTGATGGAAATTTTCATTCCATAAATAAAATTTTCAAAAGAAAAACAAAAAACAAATGCCAAAATTTACAATTTAGACAAAATTATAAATTAATTACAAAAAGAGAAATGCAAATTTTAAAAGTATGATAGTAAAATATGTTAAATTATATCAAAAAACATCAATTGAAAATTGAAAAATTAAAAAATTAATTAGCATTAATTAAAAAACTAAAGAGAAATTGCTTTTTTAAAATTCAAATTAATTTAAAAGTAGTTTAGAATTAATTTAATTTAGCAAAAGATAAAAAAAAATGCACACAATATATATTAAACTGTTCCTTTGTTTTGTCCAATATCAAAATTTAGTAATTTCTATGGATGTTTCGGGGATATTTTATTTTCAAATTTAATAATATTTAACTAAAACTAATTTAAATTAATATTTGAATCTTAAAAACAATGTTAGTAAATTTAATAGAATTTTTGGAAAGTTATTTGAAAGAAATCTAAATCATTAATTAATTTAAAAATATTTCAATATGAAATGATTACTTCTTCTATCAGTGACAATAATTATAAGTTACTGATTCATTTAAATTGTTTTAAATTTAAAAAAATGTTTTAGAATTAATTTTTAATTTAGCAAAAGAAAATTTAAAAAAAAGAAATGCACATTATTTGTTATTTGATGTATAATCAAAAAAAAAAAAAGATGAGAGCAAAATGTTTTAATTTCAATTAAAATAAACAAAATTTGCAAAACATTTACGAAATAAGCAAATAGATTATTTACAACTTTTTTAAATTATAATTGTTTAAAAAATATAAATTATATAAATAACTATTTTTGCAAATCTAAAAATTAATTTATGAGTTTTTAATTTCTGATTGGAAATATTGATGTGAAAAACTGGTTTTTGCTTTGTTAGGAATGTTCGCAGTGAAAGTATTAAAGTTTAATGAAATTTGAAGTGGAAGAAAGTAGCAGCATTATTAGCATTTGAAATAGTCTGTCATCTTAAAATGTTCAAATTCTATTTCAAATTTATACTTTCAAATTAAAATTTATACTTTTAATTTAATTATCAAAATTTCATTTCAGTCTCATTTTAGTGCTTTTCTTCTCTTTCTTTATTTTTATTATTTTTTTGTTTGCTAAGAAATTTATTTTTGTAAAATGAAATAGTGAATTTGAATTATTTTAAAACTGAAATTAATTTTAATTTTGTCATTTTTTTTTCGATCATTTAATCATGTAATCATTTATTCAAATTTCCATTCCTAAAATTAAAATTTATTATGATTGCAAGCATTTCCAAAAATGCGTAAAATGAAAAAGAAAAAGAAATTACTAATAAAAATTTTTTATTACCTGAGAAACAGGTTAATTAATTTCATTGCAAAAACTGAAATTATTGATTAAAATGAGTGTAAATGATAAGAGAAAAGTTTGTTATGACATTTCTATAACAGTTATAAAATGAAATGTGAATTTTTCTGCATAAAATTAAACTAATTAAATTATCCAAAAATATTTGTAAATATATTTGTTATTTTCAAATACATTGATGAAGTGGTTGACAGTTAGAAGAGAAATTTTGTCACCAAATATGCTATTTAAAATATTAATAGAACAAGTTTATTTTCAACCAACAGTTGATTATATGATTAAAATATAATAATTAATATTAAATTTCATTTATGCAAAAAATATAAATATACAATTAAACTTATTTTTATTTTAAAAAACTTATCATATGAGTTAATTGAAGGTTTTTTTTTAAATTTTGACTATCTGCAATATTTTGTAAAAATCAAATGTAACGTATTTCAATTTCATGTAAAAAAATTTCTAAAATTTTAATAAATTTTATTTAAGCTATCAAAAAAATACTCCAATACTTTTATGATGTATCTAATACTAGCAAAAATTTATAAATTTAAAAAAAAAATTATAAAAGTGATAGATAAATTGTTAACAAATAATTTTGTTAGGTTTGGTGACAAAAAAAAAAAAAAAAAGAAAAGAAAAATTCTTCCAAAACATTTTCAAACTATTCAAATTTCTTAATTGTATCATTTAATTCTTTCTTTTCTTTTCTTTCTTTTTTTTTGCTGTGAGAGAAATTTAAATGTCATAAAATTTGTTCCGTTTTAATGGATTTAAATAATTTGAATTGGACGACATTTGTTAATTCACTAATGCAAACCATAATAGGCAGATATGGAAAAGCAATTAAAAATATTTTAATTTTGTGAATGAATTAATAAGATTTTGTTGTACGCAATTCTAATATGACCTAATTTTAATTTTAGTTCCTGAATAAAATTCTTTTCAATCATTTGAAAATATATATTATAAGTGCATTAGAATGATGATACTTTTTAATTCATTAATTCATTCATTTCATTTTTGTTTAAATTTAAATTTAATTTATTTTTGAAAAAAATTTCAATCATTAGTTCATTTCAAGTAAATTATACTGTAACCAATACTGTAGATCATACTGTAATATATACTGTAGACCATATTGTAAATCATACTGTATGTACTATAAATGTTGAACTCTAACGTTTCATACTACATTTTTATCAAATTAATTTGAATTAATCTTTTTTTTTTTTTAAAAAAAAGAAAGATTTACTATTTAGTAAAGTATATTTGAAATATTTTGTATAAAATATATTTGAAAACTTTTATTTACTAGGAAATATTTCAAATAATTAGTTTTTTCTTTCTTTTTTAACTCTTGCTTAATTTATATTTTTTTGTTTCATTTAAAATAAAATTTATTCAATTTTTTTTTTTTTGTAATCATTTCATATTTAAAATTGAATTCTCTCTCTCTCTCTCTCTTTCTATGTCTCGTTTTTTCCCTTTCTTTTTTTCCCATTTTCTTACATTAATAATTTTGATGAAAAAAAAAAACGAAAAAAAAAATTTTATTTATTTGTTTATTGATTAAAAAAAGAAATGAACATAACAAATAATGAAGAAATAAAAATTTTTTTTTTTTTTTTAAATGTAAATGAAATGCATCAAATCAATGAATCAAACAATAATATTACCTGAATGGATCACTCAATTCCCTCTCTCTCTCTCTCTCTCTCTCTCTCTCTCTCTCTTTCATAAAACTTGTTTTCCTTTTCATATGTATTTTACATATCGATGAAATGTAAACATTGGGACAAATATGTGACACACACATACACATACACACACATACACACATACACATACAAACATACACACACATACATTTAGTTGAGAAAAGATTGGAAAAGGCGAAGAAGAAATTTGCTGCATTTTTGTTATTTAACAAACTTTCTTGAATTAATTTTCATTTTTATATGCTTATATGATGAAAGCTTTGATTTTATTTTGTTTGCTATTTAAAAAAAAAAAAAAAAAAAAGTTTTGTCTTTTCTTTTTTGTTTTTTTTTTTTGTTTTATTTGAAATGAAATGAAATAAAAACAATGAAAAAAAGAAAGACATTTTATCAAATTGAATTCATCATTAATCATTTACATTTAACATACTATAATTTCATTTTATTAAATTTATTCTTAGCTATATAATTTATTGTTTTAATAAATTTACTTTTTTTTTTTTGAGGTAAAAGTTTAATTGTAATTTTAAGTTAAAATTTTTTTCAGAAAAAAATTTTTTTTTGTTAATTGTTATCAATTTCATTTAGTAGTTTCTTTCTGTTTTTTTTTAAGAGTTCGTTTTGAATTTTAACAAAAGAACTATTTATAATTGTAAATGTATTGCCATTTTCAATTTTATTCTTTCTGCTTTTTCATTAATTATTTTTTTTCTTCTCATTAAAATGTTAAAATTCATATATGTGTTTGTGTTTGTGTTAATTTGTGGAAATAACAACTTACTAGTGCTATCTAAAAAGTTAGGTAAAAAAAACTGGAAATTGAGAAGAAATAAATTCCTTTGCTTTTTCTTTTCCCTCTCTCTCTCTCTCTCCCTCTCAACAATATTAAAATGATAAAAATAAGAAATGAAATAAAACTAAAAATATAAAGTAAAGAAGAAAAAAAAATGGAAAAAAAAATTCCTTAATAATGAAATACTTTTCATTGGTTGAATTACTTATTAATTGTTAAGTTTTTTTGTTTTGTTTTTTTTCAATTTCCATAATAATTATTTTTTATTTTGTTTCCTACTTTTTATACTTATAATTGTTTTTATTGTTTAAGTTTAAATAATTTCACTTACTTTTCATCCGTAATATAATTTTGTTACTCAAATTTTCTAATTGCTAATATTCAAAAAAATAAATACTTTAAATTGTTTTAGAAAATATTAATTCGCTTTTATAAAAAATTTATCAAATTTCAAATTTCTCTTTTTTTTACCTAAATTTGCTTTCATTTTTTTCTTTCTTTACTTATTCATATATGCTCCTTACGTAAAGTTACTCAGTTTCTTTTTTCATATTTTACGTAAAATTATTCAGTGTGCTTCTTCACGTTATATACTCTTTACGTGAAGTCACTCACGTAAGTGCTAAAATTTTTCATATTTAGTTATTTTGTTCCAATTTTACTTCTTTTTTTAATCATGATTTCAAGCTAATGCTTTGATTATGATTTCATTTTGCACCTTTGAGCATTTACCTGTACCTGTAATTGTAGCAGTAATTAAGTACTTCGTAATTATTAATATTAAAAATTTAAATATTTAAAAATTATCAACTACTTGCTTTTTTTTCATGCAATAATTATTCGGAAAAATATTAAAATAAAATAGCAATGTCAATCAGTTTTACCTGTCATTTGTGTATGATAAAATTTGTAACAGAAATTTTTCTATTAGATAATTTAATTTATAAAATTTTTACCTATAACCTATGACCCTACCCTTCTGAATTATTTTAATGTTATAAGAAACTGTTAGCCATTTAGCTTCTTGAATGTCCGTCTCAGTTCAAAATTTTAAATTTCTATTCTTTTTCTTTTTTTTTTTTTTTTTTCTATTGCAGAAAGTGCACGAACCATCGATTTGTTATTTTGCTTTTCGAAATAATAAAATCAATTTCTTTTCAGTTCGAAAAATAAAACGAAACATCGTTGCGTTACAGACGGACGTACATTACACTTATTGCACGTTATTATGGATTTATTGATACAGCCGAAAAGTCGTGGAATTCGATACGAAGGTTACGACAACGATTTCATACAGTGTGTTTTCGAGGATTCAAATGTATCCGGTCGTAATGAACGATATGAATTTAGGTAAATAATTAAAATTGAAAATGTGATTAGCATTTAAGTATTCATTAAGAAATTATGAATTAAATATGAATTAAAACTACAAATAAGTATTTCAAAGCATTCGTGATAATTATTTTGCTAATTAATTAATTACTTTCATTTTTAGTTAAGTATTCATTAAGAAATTATGAATTAAAATATGAATTAAAACTACAAATAAGTATTTCAAAGCATTCGTGATAATTATTTTGCTAATTAATTAATTACTTTCATTTTCATTTAAGTATTCATTAAGAAATTATGAATTAAATATGAATTAAAACTACAAATAAGTATTTCAAAGCATTCGTGATAATTATTTTGCTAATTAATTAATTACTTTCATTTTTATTTAAGTATTCATTAAGAAATTATGAATTAAAATATGAATTAAAACTACAAATAAGTATTTCAAAGCATTCGTGATAATTATTTTGCTAATTAATTAATTACTTTCATTTTATTTAAACACTTCGCATTCGTGATAATTATTTTGCTAATTAATTAATTACTTTCATTTTCATCAAACATTAAGAATTAAATTAAATGAATTAAAACTACAAATAAGTATTTCAAAGCATTCGTGATAATTATTTTGCTAATTAATTATTATTACTTTCATTTTCAAGTATTCATTAAGAAATTATGAATTAAAACTACAAATAAGTATTTCAAAGCATTCGTGATAATTATTTTGCTAATTAATTAATTACTTTCATTTTTATTTAAGTATTCATTAAGAAATTATGAATTAAAACTACAAATAAGTATTTCAAAGCATTCGTGATAATTATTTTGCTAATTAATTAATTACTTTCATTTTTATTTGTATTCAACATTAAGAAAATTATCGAATCTGTATTTCATTCGTGATAATTATTTTGCTAATTAATTAATGTATTCATTACTACAAATAAGTATTTCAAAATTTGAAAAAACGCATGAACGGTTTTTATCTTTGCATCGCAATTAAAAAATGTGAACGAAAAAAGCCGAATTACGCGCAACTTTCGCCTCAAGGACTATTTGGAATGTCGACTCTAGGAAAACTTCTTTGGTTTACTTCTTTCGGCTTTAATTCCTAGGCTTCTTCGCACTGGGCAGGCCTTCGAATCACTCGGTACGTTCCTTAGGACACAATTACAAAAAACAAACCTTGGACCTTTGCTTTTCTTATTTTCACTTCTTAGATTAAAAATCATTAAAAGTTCATTAAAAGTTAATCATTGAAAATACTCATTAAAAGTTAAATGATGATTAAATGATTAAGTGATATAAAAATTCATTAATTAAATTGCGATACAAACAAATAAATAATATGCTTGAAGCCATAAGTTAAAAAAAAATATCAATTCTATCAGTTTTTTTAAAAAATGAAAATTACGAAAATTTATTTAAGTTGATAAGTTTTGATAATATTTTTCCATACATGCAATCTTCTAAATGCAATTTTGTAAAATAAGTTCAAATATTATTTATTATAAATTTGAAAATTCAAATATATGTTACATTCAAAATATTACTTATCAAATATTACTTATACATTTATTATACTTTGCTGTATTATTTTATTTATTTATTATTTCTCATTCCATTCAATTCAGCTTCTTCCTTTATGTTGCATAAATTATGATCTAATTTAAATATCACTTATCATTTTCTAATCAAACTCATATCGTAATATCTGGCTAATGTTTATTCAATATTTTTGCTACTTTCATTAAATTTGCTGAAAAAAAAATCATTCTTTAATTAATTTCTTATATAATTATCATTTTAAAATAATATAATAAATGGTAATTTTGTTTTGCAACTTAATATTTTATGAAATTTAACACCAAATTACAATATACATTGTTCATTTATATTAATAAATGTGTGACATTCCTCTTTTTCACATCCTTTATACTAACAAAAGCGCTTATTCATTCCTCCAAGTGAAAATGCTAAAAATATATATTTAAAGGACAATTGCGCCCTAGCGCTATTTTTTATATTTTGATATTAAATGCTGTGAGTATATATATGATATGCATGCTATAAGATTACTTAATTTCTGCGTATGATACGTCATTCTCTTTGGTTACTTAAAAAAACAAAAATTTAAAAAATTTGAGAATTTAAAACCCAAAATAACATTCTCTGCATCCATTTCTTCTACCTTTATAAAACTTTTACCCAACTTTTACCCAATTTTATATTTCAGCAATCAATTATCAACCTGTTGCATTAGGATATCGTTCATACAAGCAAAATGAATCACAGGAAGGCCTTGGTACGGAAAATTTAATCCGAAAAGAAAAGGATGATTTATACAGTACACCAAATGATAATGGAACATTACGTTCAATGCGTGGAAGACATGGCTACCGTAATCCATTATATACCACTACTACTAGTACAGTAAAAATACGCGAAACATTTGATCGAACAATCGATGATGCTAATAAATCATATGATAAATCCGGAACTGGTACAGATACAGGTATCGGTACTGGTGGTGAAATAACCGGTCGATCGGAAATAACTGTGAATAATGATAATCGGAAGCAATTAAATACAGCAGGAATAAGACGTAATGAATATCAAATAGCTGAACCAATACCATTACCAAATACAAACAGCGGGCAATTCTCGGGCAACTCATCGGGACATTATTCAACCCGAGAAACATTTGAGGAACGATGTGAAGAGAATTATATTGCAGAGGAAGAAAAACCGTTACCGTATGCTGATACAAAAGAATTATTATAATGGAATTACTGTACATTTTTGATTATGTTATAAACTCATCAAATTTATTCCCATCAAAATTAAATCTCTTTTTTTTTTTTCATTCTCAAACTAAAATTACCACTGAAAATAACTATCAATTAAAAAATGTTTAAAGCACTCTCAAAATATTTGAATTTCTCGAGAATTATCAACTATATATTATGTACTCAGGTATTACTCCTTTCATTTATAACCATAAGGAGATAGGAATAGATATCATGACATATTAAAATTTTAATTTTTTTCAAAATTTTAATCTTTCTATTTTTTTGATATATTATTTCTCAACGATTATTTCAGAAGAATATTAATTAGTAACAGTCAACTTTGAAGAGAAACAGAAATTATCAAGAGAAATCATTAAAGAGAATGAAAATTAAGAATGTTCATCTTAATCACTCGTATTTATTGAACTAGTATCATACAATTTAATTTTTAAATTTATTGAGAAGAATATTTACTACTTCAAAAAAAAATCTATTCTAGGAGCATATTTATGCTATATTAATAATAACAGTAATAATAAAAGTAGTAATAGTAATAATAATATCAATAATAATATAAAATAAAATAATAATAATTGATAGATATAACAATAGTAATTAATAATAGTAATAATGGCAATAATAATCATCAATAATAATAATAATAATAATTGAGAATATTAGAATCATATTTCTTGCAATGAATTTTTGTGAATGTTTTCAAAAAAAGATTGAAACTTGTTTTGCATGTTATGCTAACTTACTTTACCATTTTTTTTTTACTCCTTACTTTACTTATGCAATTTCAATATTGTAAAATGTTATTTCTAACAAAAAACAAAAAAAGTGCTGTAATATATTGTACGATGTAAATATTTTCAAAAAAAAAAAAATTTTTCGTTTTATTTAGCGGTGTTTTATGCAAGCGATAAGTAATATTTTTTTCATTTTTGCTTTTGCATGTATTTAAAAAAAAAGTGATATTATTATCACATAAAAATTTTAACTCCTTTTTTTTTCTTATGTTTTTGAATTGTAAACTAAAAAATTTAATTCAGTAAATTCAAAATGAAATAACTGATTTAGCTATTCGAATGCAATAATACAAATATATGTTAAAGTTGATAAAATTCTTTTACTGATTATTTCAGTTACCAATAATTAATTAGGTAAAATTTTTGATTGCAAAAGTTTTGTTTCAACAAAATTTCAAAAGGGTTTATGAATTTTCTTTTTGTTTCCTTATCTTTTAAAATAACTTTTACCTTAGATTTAACAAACTGAACGATTAGCATTAAAATACCTGTTATATGATTTAATTTTTATTAATTTTTAACAATTTTCATTTTCCCCATTTCCCTGTTGAAGTTATAAAAAGAAAACAGTAAAAAACGTCATTAATGGAAGAAATTAAAAGGCGGAAATATTTTTAAAAAATTTCATCTATGTTTGAATTTCTACTTCGCAATAAAAAAAAAAATAATAGTCGTTGAATTGATGAAATCTGAAAAAATTTATACTGAAATCTGTCGAAAAGCAGCATTTATTTTATTTTTTATTAAATACTTAAATTAGAAACTGCATATTTCAGCGAGAAATATTGCAATTTTTTAAAATATTTCATTTTAAAAAATTTTAAAGTTAGCCAATTTTTGAAATTTAATCAATTTAACCATTATCACCAAAACTTGCCTAAATTAACATTTTGAACTGATAACTGAAATGAGAATGAATGTAGTTCAGATGTTGTGCAACTATAAAGAGAATGAGATATTAAAAAAAAAATCGAAATTAAGCAAAAAAAAAAAATGTAATATTTTATAAAGAGATAAAGAGACAACTTAACCTCTTTATTTCTCGTATTTGAATATCATTTTCAAAACTTAACATTCTTTTGAATTATTATCAAATAATGAATTTGAATGTCATACACTAAAGTACCATAAATACTAATCCATTTAAAATCAATTTTTTTCGAGAAATTATTGATAATTGTTGTAAAGTATTATTACCATAAGTGTCCTTAAAAACTTTAATCTTATAAATAATAAAATTTCCGAACTGAAATTAAAAATATGCAAATAAATTAGAAATCATCATACTTATAATTTTAATCATTTAGTTTATTTTGAATTATGTTGCTACTCTTAATGTTGATTAATTTTTTTTTAATATATTTTTCATTATTTATTAAAAATATTTCATTACTTATAAAAGCAAATGGATAGATACTGAAATTGAAATTTAAATTGTAATTAAATTGATGTAATTATATTTCAATGCTTTCAGAGAAAACAAAATTTGTGCCATCACCAATGGAAATGCAAAATTTGATAAAACCTGAAATGAAACAAATCATCAAACATAATTGTGATGAGATAACCTCAGCTTTAATACCTCAATATTTCGATCCACCGATTGAGCAACCACAACGAGCCGAAATTGCTTTCTACAGGTGTCAAACTGATCAAGTCCCTGCCTATTAATCAATCAATCAATCGATCAATCAATCGATCAATTGTTTTTCTTTATCATATTTATCATTTGTATATTGGTCTTAAAATAGATGAAATATTTTCTTCATCCAACGGTATCATCAATCAAAAAAAAAAAAAAAAAAGAAAAAAAACGAGAACCGATAAACATTTTCATTTGCTTTTATAAAAAAGTTCAAAAAATTTCAAAATTATTCGAGAATTTAAAATTCTTTTTTATTTCAGTCAGCAATAGTTTTGATAAATATCTTTTAAACATTTACATCTCTCATTAAATATAAGTTTTGAAAATTTTCAAAAAGCACAAATTTGAAGGAATGAAATGATAAATTTATGCTCAATTTGTATTTTCAGAATTATTTTAAAAATCGTTCAACAAAAAAAAAAAAAAATTCAACACAACTTTTATTACTAAAATATTAATTTCAATATTTTCTGATGATTTTTATCACTTTTTTTAAAATATATTTAAATAACTAAATCAAAATTAATGAGTTCACATTATTTATTGATTTGAGGATTAATTCAATTTTGGCAGTAATAAAATTGTTTTGCCTGTGGTTATTTTAAAGAAAAAGTAAGAGAAACAGTAAAAAATTTAACATTTAAAAAATGAGAAAATTTTGAAAAATTAAACAAAAAATTTTATTCAATAATTTAAACATGTAATTTACAATTATTTTAATGATTTTCACTCACTAAAACTATTCTTATATATGAAAATTGTTGTTTGTTTACCTATTTGTCATCAAATTTTCAAAATATTTCAATTTTTCTGGGAATGCTAAATATATTTTTGAATTAATATCTTTCAATTTTTTCTTTTTCCTATTTTCTGATTTGGTCTACAATTCGATATCTATAAAATTTGTTTTATTATTATATGCTTTTTCGTAATTAAAAAAAAATGATAATTGTTAGTATTTGCTATTCATCACATTAATTAACAATTTCTGGCACTAATGAATAGATTTAATAAAATAGATGAAATGTTAAATTAGATTAATTGCTACAAAATTATATGATGAGCAATTTTAGGCCTTTTCAACCGGATCCAATGAATGAGATGATTTTTCCGGAACCGATTCGATATACAGTTTCTTATCGTGATATCAATAATATTATCCGTTTGTGCAAACAGTTATCCGTACAACTCCCAGAAAGCAAACGAGCAAAAATTTTGTATCGCAAACTTGCTTTTAACAATGTTCCATCTTACTAATATGTAGATATGAGCAGGTGAACTTTGACCTGCAAAGACAATCAATTAAATAGCTAACCGTTTAATTAATCCTCTTAACTAAAAAAAAAGTTTTAAAAAGGTTTATTTAATCAAGCATTTTACAATGGAATGAAAATGTAAGATAAAATTAATTTCTTTCTATCACTTTTCTCATTTCAATCAAATCTTCATTTGTTTTATAAATAAAAAATTTTCATATAACAAACATAAATTTTGCATGCATATTCTAAACATTAAAATAAGTGAAATTAATATTTTTACTGCTCATTGTTAAATTTACCAGCGCAATTGTCCTGCGCATCTGTCCATTTCTTTATTCGAGTAATCGAAATTATCAAAAAGACGAACAATGTATGATAGTAATCATCTTGACATGAATTTATTTCAAATTGATCAAACATTTGCTAAAAGTTTCTGGTGTATTCCAGTAATTTTTCATTTATTTAGTGTAGCACTTGTATTACTTCATCCTGAAACACGAATTTTAGCCTGGTAAGCCTAGTAATTTTTAAAAATTTAAGTAGAAAAAATTTTAAAAAATTAAAAAAATAATCACAATCAATGGAATAACAGAATTAACATTTCAAGATTTATTTATTTATTTATTTTTCATTTATAATTTTTCAGTCAACAATAGAAAGGAAAAGAAAAAAGTAAGAGCAAAGCGAGAGAAAAAAAGAAAATAAAAATTAAATTAAAATTAAAAGGGAAGAAGAAAAAATTTAAGTTATCATTATTAGCATATTACTTTGAAGAAAAAATTCTCTTTGAAAAATAAATTTTATTGTAGGATGTTTTTTCGACGAACATTCATCCTCTCTTTGGCAACAATAATTTTAATCGAACAATTTGTAAATAATATTATAGTGGTTTGTTTGTTTGTTTTTTCCTTCCTATTCTTCTCTCATTTTTGAAATTTTCAATTTTTTGTTTATTTATTTGTTTTTTTTTTTTTGCTTTGTGAATTATTTTAATTGATCTTGAAGTTGACATATGCGTTCCTTTTCTCTTTTTTTTTCCGCATTTAAGAATTTATTAGATACTGAAATTCATTTAATATATAGTGCAACAATATACATAAGTAAGTTATTCACTTCCCTTGTACTGTATCCGTGATACTGTAACATCTGCAATATTCACGGCACCGTAACATCCACGATACCTGTGGTACTGTAGCATCTACAAACAAGATACTGTAATGAATACAGTATCCGTGATACTGTAACCATTCTAACTCATCAATGGATTTCTTTTTATGGCACATTTAAAAAATTTTAATAATATTAAAATGTAAAATATTAGGCGAAAATAAGTGCAATATATATTAGAAACAATGAAATTAAGCAACTAAATAATAATTATGAGTATATCATAATTAATTATGAGAAACACTTGAAATTATGGGAATAAATAATTAATTATGAGAATATCATAATTAATTATGAGAATTAAGAAAAAAAGACATACATTAATAGCTGATATTGATAACTTATTGAAATTTTAAACTAAAATTTTATGTTTCATTGTAAAATTTCTAACGGTATGTGAAAATTTCAGGAGGCAACAAAAAGAAGTGTGACAAAAACTATATTTGGTGTGTTGGTTGATTATGAATAAATTTCATACTGAACGATTGATTTATTGATTTATGAAATTTGATAAGCTTAAAAAAATTTGCGTAAAAACAAATTTTTATAATTAAAAAAGAATGATAAAGAATGATACAACGATTAATAATAATAATTATTATTGTTATTGCAAAATAATAACAATTTTGAAAATATTTGTTCTTAAATTTTGGAAAAAGATATTGCAATTTTTCCTGAAAATTTTTATCATATTACAATAAAGAAGGCAAAATTGCCTGAAAACATGAAATTTCGATTGTTTTAAAAAATTCTAAAAATAAAGAAAATTTAATTTTAAATACTTTTTCATTAATGCAATTATTTAAAAAACAAAAGTGACTGTTAAATTTTGATTACAAATGTTAATTATTTTGCAAAATATTTTTACAAATTTCTATTGAAAATGAAAAAAGCAGAAAATGCTTTTTTTTACTTATTGTTAAATGATATTTAAAATTGACAAATGCAAAAATTGATCAGCGCTTTTCTGGTTAATAAATATAATAGCCAATTCAGGAAGATTAAACTTTTTGTTCAGGAAAACTTAAAAATAGCCTAATTAAAGGATAAATTTTATCATATCATATCTCTTAGTATTTTTTTATCATTCTTCATATTACTTTAATATAGATTCCTTATCACTTCAAACTGATTCATTATTTAATTTTAAATGAACAGTCATTTACAGAAACATCCAATACTCCTACAAATATTCCTATTACAAAGGCACATTCCTTCACTATGTACGTTCATTAATTATTCAAATTAATGAGTAACATTTTAATTTCTTTCATATTTTAAATTTAAATTAAACAAAAAAATATTAAATAATAAATTTATGGAATTAAATTTAAAATTCGTTAAAAATGACCCAATTAAAGGATAAATATCAGAATGCTGAGAACGAGAATGTAACGATATTAAAACATACTAATGTCAATAGGTGGTTGAATTAAAATAAATTAACTTTTCTGTCATTTGGAAGTTTCTTCAAGAAATTTTAATCAAATTTTAATATTAAAAGTAAATTTCAATTTTATTGGTTATAAAAATAAAAATGGAAAAGTTTTAAAAAAGAAGAGGGATGTGAGATAATATAAATTAATAATGATAACAAAGTAGCAAAAGTGATAAGGAATTAATTCGAAATAATTTCCAAATAAGAGATTACAAGAAAATTTTATAGATCGAATATCGGCGACCCATTGAAAGTGAGTTATTCCTTTTTCCGGAATCAAGTAAGTGTATCAGTAAACTGTTATCAGTGAAATTGTTTACATTTTAAAATTTTTGAAATTAAATTTTCTCAGTCCATTAATGAATTAAACAGTTTAAGACGTCAAAAATAAAAAAAAAAACTTAAAATAAATGGAATAATTTGAGAAATTTAGAAAGCTGAAGAGATTTGTTCCATTAGTTTTCTTACTTAAACTTTCTATTAAAAAATATGCAAAGTGATTTTTTTAATTTAAATTAATTTCTCAATTAAAAGGAAAATCACAAATTTTAGCATGATTTTTTAGCATTTTAAGTTCAAAATCAGGCAAATAATTTATTAAAAAATATAAAATGAAAATTTTATGTTTCAATTCAAATAATTTTTATTTTGAAACATAAGATTTTGATATGAAGCAATAAATGAAGTGTATAAATTAAAATAGTACTAAGAAATTTTAGAACATAAATTTCAGCACTTCAAAGACAGAAACAAATCAATTTATCAAGCAAAAAAAAATTTGATAATGTGAAAAATAAATTCTGCAAAGTAAATAAGAAAAAATGGATCTAATATCATTCATACTGAAATTTATGACCTGAAATGTTCATTTCTTTGTTTCTGTTTTTGTTTTTTTTAATATTTCAATTTATATTAAATTCATTTTTATGATTTATTATCAAAAGGCATTTCTTACTTATTTTGTTTTTTTTTAAATTTTTATTTTAAATAATTTCCATTTAAATTATCGATACAGTAGGTAACCTTAGTGGGATGAAATCCTGATTGCAATTCTGCTCTTCGTTATTGCATTAATATTATTTATTACCGGAATGTATATGGTAGACCGAGTGCAACACGGAAAAGATCGTTTATTCCGGAAATATATCAATGAGCGAAAACGTTCTAGTAAAGATATAATCATTAATAAGATAATAATATATTTTAAAAACTAAAAATATCAACTTTTGTGATATTAATTTACATTAATTAATCATTCAATTTGAATCAATAAAATTTGATTCAATTTTTAAAACAAAAAATTGAATTTTATTTGAAATTTAAAAAAAAATTATGCAATAATCTCGAATGAATTTTGTTTTTTTTTTTGCTAATTAACTGTTAATTGCAATTAACCTAGGAGAATTTTAAAAATAACTTATGTTTTAATCAGTTATACGTTTCCAGAAAAACGGAAGAAAATGGAATTAGTTCTGAAATACACAAACAGTTCCAATTGCAATGATACTAAAACGGATCCAATTTCAGAAGTTTATTTTCATTCTTTTTAATTACTCAAAGCTAATTGTTTCCCTTTATTTAGTGAAATAAAATTTCAATTTAATCGAAATCAGAGCACAAATTTTAATACAATATTAAAATACACTAAATGAAATTTCTAGTAAAAAAAACAAATAAAAATAAAAATAAACAATTTTTTATTGATTGAAATAATTAAATGCATTTTAGTCATTTGTTGAAAATTCAACTTCACGAGAAAAACATTTGAATAATTCTTCAATTACTGAACAAAATATTTCCAATCAGTCAATCACAGGACAATCATATGAAACAATAATATAATTTTTTTTTTTTTGTAATTTTATCATATCACATCCAATCGGCAATAAATTTATTGTTAAAACAGAATATATCAAAATTAAAAAAATTATTAATTAGTCATGATTCTAATTTAATTTTACAATTAAAATTAATTTTTATTTGAAATTTAAATATTGTTTTTTATGAAAAATTTTTGTATATTAAACTAAGAAATAAGTTCTAATAATGTCAAATTTTTTTTTTTTTTAGTTAGGTGTTAAAACTATTTAAAAATATCAATTCATTAAAAAAAAATAGATATTTTCAACTTTATTGATATATGCATTTTTTGGGTGCTATTCATGTTCGCTTTGGTCGTTTGTTTAAAAACATAAAAATAACAAAAATTAGCCAATAATGATGAGATTATCGTGATAATATAAAGTTTAATTTAGTTCGATGAATATCAAATTTAATTATCATTGCTAATCTAAACATTTTCTAGTAAACTTTACATATTACTCTAATCTTCCATCATATATGTTTAAATGGAAGTAAGAAAAATTAAGAATAAAAAAGAAAATAAAAAAAAAAAACGAAAATCACAAATTAGATAAATGGTAGTAAAAATTAATCGAACAGAATTATTATCATTTCAAGTAAACAAAACAAAAAAAAAAAAAAAAAAACGAAAAATGAAATACTCAATAACTAATTTAGTGATTAGTATCACAAAGAATATGCATTCTAGTATCAAATTATCAACAAATCTTAATAATCTAAATGTAAATTTAATAGTTAAAAGATTTTAATAATGTAAATTAACAAAACTCAATAACTTGTATTTTGATTAAATAACTAAGGCGAATCTAATCAAATATATGTGTTTATTTTAACAATAATTTATCAACGATTATCATATGATCAAATGAAATTTCAAATTAATCATGAAAGCATTCCATATGTAAAGTAACAAAAAAACAACAAATAACAACGACAAACAACAACAACAACAAACAGCAACAACAAATAACAACATGCAACGACAACAAACAACAACAAATAACAACAACAACAAACAGCAACAACAAATAACAACAACATACAACGACAACAAACAACAACAAATAATAACAACAACAACAAACAGCAACAACAAATAATAACAACAGCAACAAACAACAACAACAAACAACAACAACAAATAACAACAACATACAACGACAACAAATAACATCAAACAACAAACAACAAAAACAACAAACAACATCAACCAACAAACAGCGAATAACATCAGACAAACAACATCAAACAACAAACAACAACAAAAACAACAACAACAACAACAACAGCAAAGAACAACAACAGACAACAACGACAACAATAACAACAACAAAGCAATATACATTCTCATACGTCGTACAACTCACTAATCTATGCCTAATCTAATTTCTATTCATTAATTTTGAAAATAGTTTCTTTCATTGTTACAATATTTCGTGTAGTGTCTGTGTGTATGTGTATGTGTGTGTGTGTATGTGTATGTCAGAGTCTGTCTATTGTGTAAGTCTGTAAATCTTTGTCTGTGTATATTGTAAATGAATGGGTTCACATAGTGTTTATTATAAGATTTCTCAATCTATCACTTCTCAATCTCACAAATATTTCAACTCTTCCACAAACATAACACACACACACATACATACATACACACATACACATACACACAGACACATACACACATATATATAGAATTGAAGTTTCAAAGGGAAGGAAGCCCAAGGCTTAGTATCAACAAGCGTCCGGTGCCATTTCAACGCTAATATTTTCAATTCTAACAATTTTGATGATTACTTTTTCACTCGTAAGCTGTTATTCCTTTCGGTCTTTTTATTTATTTAAAAAAAAAAAAAAATTTTCAATTTTTCATTATCATTTTTATTATTCTCCTATAATTAGTTAATTAATTAATTAGTTAATTAATTAATTAATTAATTGTTTTTTTTCTCACTTTATTAAGATTAGAATTATTCTGATAGATTTATTAATAATATATTTCATTCATTCATTCATTCATTTTTTTCTTTAGATTTGAACAAAATGATTTATTAATTTCATCTTCTGTCTATTATCATTAACATTGTTACATATTTTAATTAATTCATCAAAAAAAAAAAGAATTAAAATTTATTTTTTATTTTATTGCAATTCAATCTATCTTTATCAATGATTATTATTTATTTGAAATAAATTTAATTTGTAATTTTAACTGTTTTTCATTTTTATTTAATAATAAGAAATTTCAAAAAAAAAAATTAATTTCACTAATATTTTTCTCATCTTTATTATTATTATTATTTTATCAAATATCTTTACTAAACTTTAAACAGCTGTTGCTGCTATTTATTTTTCCACTCTTTCAGTACGAATCAATATAAACTATTGTGCAAATTGCACAAACTAAATTATACAATTAAATATTTGACCTTAGAAAGGTCAAATATTTAATTAAGATATTTAATTTTTCACTTTCAAATTAAACATTCTTCTCTTTCAAATAAAAAATTTCCGTCACAAATAGCTTTTCCTAAATTCATTTCAAATTCTTTTTCAAATCTTTTTTTTTTATTGTTTTTTATATATTTTCATCAGTTTTTCTTTTTCTTAAAACCTTTCTTTTTTTTTTTTTTTTTGTTTGCTACTAATTCATTTTACATTAAAAACTTTTATCACTTTCAGTTAGATGTGAAAATTAAATTAGTGAAAAAAAAACTTAATTGTGCTATTGACAACTAAAAAAAAAAATAAATAGTAAAATAAATTTTGTGGTAAGTTATTGAAATGTTTTGAATAAATTATAAAGAATTATTCATAGAAATAATATATTTTTGTTCTAAATAAATTGACAAATTGATTTTCTAAATTAATTTTATAATTCAAATCATTTCATTTCAACTTAAATACATCCAAAAATACTAATTAAATCATTTTAATCAAAAAGAAAAAAAAACGTCAAAAATATATGTAAAATGTAAATTTCTATGATATAACAATAAACTTTTTAACTGATCGAAATAGCTCAAATTTAAACTCTTTAATTAAAATCAGATCAAATCAAATTGAAAATTTTTTTGTTGTCTTATCAAAGTGAAATTGAATCAAATTTTCTACCACCACTATTAATTTTATAAATTTTTATTAGTAAAACAAAAAAATTTTAAAGCATAAAGTTGTATATTTTAGCAAAGACTTTCTGTCATTTTTTTTTTTTGCTTTTTAATTCTAAATATTTTCATTTTTTTATTGCAATAAATTTATATAAGAATATTAGTTATGTAATTATTTGATGAATATAACTTCTTAATTGCCGGACAAATGCGCTCTGTTTGCTCAAATCTTCAACAAACGCCAAATCAGTTTTGTTAATTTAATTAATTAACTAATATTCATAAAGCAAATTATTTGCTAGAGATTCATCGAACGAATTGATATATAAATATTTAATTAAATTAGTATTTTATTTAAATCAATCATCTCTTTCTTTCTTTCTCTCTCTCTCCTTCTCCCTCTCTCTCTCTCACTCCGTTTCTTTCTCAGAAATCCACTCATCCATCTATTTAACAGTTTTTAATACTAAAATTGCCATTAATATATTAAAATTGTGAAATATTTAAATACTAAAATATTTGATTTTTTGTTATAATGCACATACTGAAATATTAAAATTTTTTCTTTTTTTTTTATAACGCATACACGCATATTTTATCTTCAAATTGATATTTTTCATATGATATCATGATTATTCATCATCATATCATGATTATTCTTCATATGATATCATGATTATTCTTTATATATTATCACGATTATTCTTCACATATTATCATGATTATTCATCATAATTATCATAATTATTATTCATATATTATCACAATTATTCTTCATATATTATCATGATTATTCTTCGTATATTATCATGATTATTCTTCATATATTATCACGATTATTCTTCACATATTATCATGATTATTCTTCACATATTATGCATGATTATTCTTCATATGTTATCTCGATTAATTTCTATGTTTTATCACTACTTTTCATATTTGATCACAGTTGTTATGATTACTTTTCATATGTATTGATAATTTTCATATGATATCATGATTATTCTTAATATATTATCACGATTACTTTATATATTATCACGATTAATTTTCACGATTTTTTTTTCATTCTTTATTGCAGTTGTTATGATTACTTTTCATATGTTATCTCGATTAATTTCTATGATCACTAATCACAGTTCATACATGTTATCACGACTAATTTCATACTATTACAGCTGTTTCATATGTTATCACGATTAATCTTTATATAGTTATCACGATTAATTTTCATTTATTATATTATCACACTGATATGATTATGATGGTTCTTTTTTTTTAGAACATGAATTTTTAACTTTTTAAGTTATGAATTTTACTTCAAAGTTTAGAATTTAGTTTAGAAAAGTTTGATCTTTTTGATTTCTTCTATTTCTATTTCATGATGTATGATTGATTATTGTCTGTTTGTTGATGTGATTAACCACTTAGTTATTTCGGGCCAATCATGTTTTCACAACCGTAAACTATGATATTTTATAATAGTTTCATGTATTTTTCTAAAGCAAACCACTCAGTCTAATCAAATACACCGACTCCGCGGTGTTATTTCATGTTTCATGCGAATCGTGTTATCCTTCATGTCTCATAACATGCTGTTGTAGAATCCTTATTATCCTTCATGTCTTAATATGGTATAATCCGCCATATTATGATTATCATAATATGCTGTCTGTAGAATCACGAGTTATCCTTCATGTCTTGCTCTGTAGAATCCGCGGTGTTATCCTGATTGATGTATAATCCGGACTTCATACCTTATCATAATTTCATACTGTCATGTATAATCTGCGGTGTTATCCTTCATGTTTCATATTATGCTTCATAATCCGCTACTTTTCATCCTTCATGATCTTCTTAAACTTATGAATTTCT